TGTCCAGCCCAGCCGGTAATGGACACGGGAGGGCTCCTCCCCCCCAGGCCGCTGTTGACATCCCCCCATCCCAAACTGGAAAACACGTGAAGGTTCAACGGTAACTGAACACGTTTGGATGCACAATGCGAGAAAGGGAAGGTACTTCTGATGCACACTTAACTTTGTGTCCCACACGTGTGCGTGGTGTTCACACACTGCACGTTGCATACACAGAGTCAAGAGACACCCTTGTCCAGTCTTAGACGTATTTTGTAATTATATAATTTGAACAAATCAAAGCTTCGTAACTGTCTGCATTTACATGCAATGCGGTGGATGAATGTGACAAATAATGGACCTTTGTTTTCCAAAGGCAAAATTTTCTCATCTCACAAAAGCAACCCAAGGCGATAGAATCCATTTCAGCTGTAACCTGCAGGCTTGATGGGTATCTAGTTAAAACACCATGCTGTTCCTTTTTTAAATTGATTTTTTTAAACCGTGAATTTATTTTGCTGTTTTTCCATCATGTTCATTTGTATGAGTGTCGGTACAAAGGGGAGGGGGGAAAAAAAACAGTATTTCAGTGTCTGTGGCAGTCTGAAAGCAAGTATTTCTGCCATCCAAGGAGTGAACTGCAATCAGAGATGCAGACTCAAGGCACAGATGTGTTCATTACCAGGCGGTCTTCACTCCCCGGGTACCACCGCTCATTTAGGAGCCTGTTACGCCGTTACAGGCGTTCTCTGCTGCAGATGCTTATGATGAGCCACTGGGAGAGTTAATTTTGAAAGGCAAATAGGAAATTTGTCTCTGAAATTCACTGCGTCCAGACACAAAACGGACACAGCACTGTTTCCTTTTCACTTCCTTGCCCCTCCTTGTTTCAAGGATATTTTAACAGAGAAGTTAAAGAAGATATTTTAATGGAGCAGTGCTGTGGGATGGGATGCACGCCGTGGTACCACCACACTGCAACTCGGGGCCCGTGCACAGCAAAAAGCAGCGCAAACACCCAGCACTTGCAGCGCCACTGCTGCCTCTTCAGGGCACCAGACAGACACGGGCAGCTGCTCTGGCCGCGGCACCAACCTCTCCCATGGGGACACAGCCTCCGCATAAAATGTTCTCAGCATTCTGGCTTCAGGTGCAGATGTCCCTCTAGCAGCAATTTCTACACTGAAAATACAAGAACCCTCCTTGCTGGTACTGTGTAGAGGGCAGAATATTGCGGGGTGAAATTCCTTGTGTTTCTTTCCAGTGTAGTATTTTTAAATTTTTGCTTGGCGATCGTAGAATGGTTTGGGATGGAAGTGAAGCAGTGAAGAACAGTGACTCTTTGTCTTTTCCTGGAAAACGTACAGACCTTTGATTCTGATGGACTGGAGGGGACAGATCTGGTTACTGGTTTGTTTTACCTTGCGCCAATGGGAATATTACATATTCACATTTGGTAATGTTTCCCTTTCCTGCTTTGCCTAATAACTGGCTCACGACTGCAAGGGAGTCTCAGTAGGTCAGTTATTACACAGAAAGACTCCTGCTACTTGCAACAAGTGTGAGAGTTCATCTCATTAACTGATTTTACTTCATTTGGCATTAAATAATTCCCAGAACTCCCATATGCTTGTCCAATATGTTCTACAAGGGGGATGATTCTCTAAAAGCAATTAAATAGCTCCTTTCAGCCCAGCCTGTCACTGGCCATGCACACCCCCCCTCCCCAGAGGGGCCCCCAAAATTTGCCAGCGGCCGTGACCGCAGCCTCCCTTATTTCAGTGACTCTGTCCTTTTGTAACGAGCTGGGTGCAGAGCACTTGGTTCGCTGCGATCAGTTGTGTCTCACATTTGCTAGGCTGCTACCAGGACTCTGCTGCCACTACTGAGGTTCTTTCTTTTTTATCCACCTTGTGTATTTGTGTTTTGTTTCATTCTTGATGCTCGAAAAATCAGCACTATTTCTGATGGGAATCAACACCGGTAGCATAACTAAAACTCTGGATCCGCGTCACCTAAGGGTTGTGCTGAAAACAAAATAGCCTTTATTTTGCTCCCATTATTGAAGATGAATTGTAAAGCTTTGTGCTGGACAGGTAACTTCAGCCAAATTCCACCACCACCACCTCCCCTCCCTCCCCGTATTTTGTGCATCTGTCAGCAGCAGCCACTCAGCAAAGGACGTGTGTGCTGGGAGAGAGATAGGATAGAAATGCACCAACCAGGTTAAATAGCTGGGGTTTGACTCACTCTCTGGAAAGCAGCTGTTGTTACCCCCTTCCTGCAGCTGCATCAGAACAGAGATAAGGAAGGAGAACGCAGCAGCCTTTGCCGAGGTGCAGCAGAGAGGAGTCGCATGGACTGAATCCCTTCCTGAAATGTAAATATGCGCAGAAGTTGGCTTGAGGGTTTCTAATAATTCTGAGACATTTTTCTTTGTATCTGTAAGTAACTGGTTGATTTCTTAAATTAGCTGGAAAGAGAGGTGATTTGGGCTAACTGCTGGAAGGCTTTATTCTTAAGGAAATTAAATAACCATTTGTAAAGGGTAGCGGTGGTTGGTGATAAGTGATGGCATTCTGAGCAAAACCCAGTGTTTTCCTGGCCATGAAGGAGTTGTGAAAAATGGTTCTGCGTAAGCAGAAGGAAGCGGGTTTTTGCTGGAACCGTTTGTGTGGTGACTCTGGTGTCAGCTCACCAAACCCCGCCATCCCCTGCGTCTCTGACCGTGGCGAGGCGGCTGCCATTGCCGAGATGCTCGGCTGCCGGGGGCCCTTCCTGCCCCGCCCGCGCTG